TCCCCAGACACACAGCTGACCATGTACTCCTGCCCAGCTACCCATGTGACCGTGCTTCCTGCCTCGGGGGTCAACTGAAGCACCTTGGGGGGCACTGGTGAGAAAGGGTCTGGGTGAGCTGGAACCATCCAGAGGGATATGAGGATTTGGGCTTTGAGTCTGAGGAAGGGGAGCAGGGTTGGGGGCTTGGACTCCCCCACTCTGGAGATGGTGAGGGCGGCAGTCCAGACTCATGGGTCCTGGGGGGTCTCTCATTCATACCCAGGATGGAGAGGATCACTATGGGAGACACGAGCTCAGGGCCTGTCTCTGAGCGGCCGACCTGGCACTCATACTCTGCATCGTCGCTGAGGTCACACGCTTCAATATGCAGGTGAAATTCACCTGCAGGTAGGACCCAAGGTCAGGGCCAAGGTCAGCCTCGGCTGGTAGCTCAGGATCTCAGGGTCTGGTCCCTTACCTTTAGCAGGGTCTCCCTCCAGGCGATACCGCGGGAAACTGGGGATCCTAGGATCGGGGCCGAGGAGCAGCCCATCTTTGGCCCATTGTACCGCGCTGCCAGGGGCGCGGACCCCACATTGCAGCTCGGCAACAGCCCCCTCCACCACTGTCAAGTTTTCGGGCAGAGCCCAGAAGCCTCGGGGGGCTGAGGCCGGGATCGGCACTTGGGTCAGGCCTGGGAACACAGAGATATCAGTAGGAGAGGGCAGAGAGTCTGTCTGGAGAAGGGGCCGTGGGAATGAGGGCCACCTGGCTTTGGTCACAGCCCAGGATCCCACTCACCTGTCGTCAGAAGCCCCAGGAGCAGCAGTGCATCCTTGATGCAGATCCTCAGGGCCATCCTAGGTCCTCTGTCTTTGGTGTCCACGGTGTCCACGCCCACCTCCTGCGTCTGCCTGCCTTTCTCTGGGTCCCTCTTTATGTCTGCCCTTTACTTTTCTCTTTGATTCTCTTTTTCTATTTGTCTCCTTTTTCTCTTTCTCTATTTCTCTCTTCCTGCCCTAGGTCCCCTTCTACTCTTCCTCCTGTATTCTATCTCACGCTCCTTCCTGCTCTAAGGTTCTCTTTCTCTCTCAGTCTCTATCTCCTTCCCCAAAGTCAGTCTCTGTTTCTCTTTTTTCTCTCATGCAACTCCCACCCCTGGTCTCCACTCACAGCCCCTCAGGGAGGACTCACCGCTGAACCCGGCAGGCCCCGTGAGCCCAGGAGAGCGATGATGCAGTCAGTGGCAGAACTGGGCCCGTTCTCAGTTGATCTCGTCCTTACACTACTCATCCTCACCTCCCCCAGGCACACTCTTGAGTCTCCAGCTTCAGGCCTCTGCCGGAGGGCTCCTCCCAGCACAGCTGGAGCAAGAAATCCCCTGTCAGCACATGCCAGGCACATTCCTCGGTCCCTCCCCTGCCCCCATGACCCCAGGGGCCTGTCTTGGCCAGGGGTAAATGGGAGCAGGTCAGACCCAGGAGGTCCCAACACAGCATGGGGAGCAGAGAGCTGGGCCCGGCCTGGGGCTGACTCCCCTACTTTTCCTACACTGGTACCTGAACTTCAAGTCCCTTCCTTTCTTTTTTTTTTTTTAATTAAAAAACTTTAAAAAATAATTTTACTTGTATATTTTTTGGCTGTGCTGAGTCTTCGTTACTGGACAGCTTTTCTCTAGTTGCAGACAGTGGGGGCTACTCTCTAGCTCCGGTGCACAGACTTCTCATTATGGTGGCTTCTCTTGTTGCGGAGCACAGGCACTAGGGCATTCGGGCTTCAGTAGTTGTGGCCTGTGGGCTCGGTAGTTGCCTCTCCCCGGCTCTAGAGCACATGCTCGGTAGTCATGACACAGGGGCTTAGTTGCTCCAAAGTATGTGGGATATTCCTGGATCAGGGATCAAACTTGTGTCTCCTGCATCAGCAGGTGGATTCTTTACCACTGAGTCACCAGGGAAGCCTCTCTTCCTTCCTTGAGTAGACATCGCCCTCTCAATGAGATCATGAATCTCTGCTGAGGAGTGTGCAAGTGTGTGTGTGAGAGACTGGGAGAGTACATATGTCTGTGCACACACATGTGTGAAATGCACATAAGTGAACATGCCTGGGGAAGTTGATAGTGAACTGTGATTTGTGAAAACTTGTGCAGTGTATGTGTGTGTGTGTGTATAAGTGTTTCAGGTGTAAATGTGCTGGGCAATCAGAGTGGGTGGGAATGAAAGGTAGGGTCCGAGGCCACCAGCCCTGAGCCCAATGTGCAAACACTTTGGCATGGGTTTTGTGAGTTCTAGTTCACATAGTGTCCCTCGGTCTCTTTCTATCTCTTCTTTCCTTCTGGATGTCTCTGTCTCTCTCCCTCCCTCAGTTATCTTGATTTATTTTCTTTTCTCCACCACTTTGAGACTGTCCCTCTCTGACTCGGTGTCTTTCTCCCCTTCTCTCTCCGTTGGGTGGTTACCTCTCAGCCGGCCTTTAACTCTGTCACTGTCTGTGCCTGTACACGTCTCCATTTTTCTCTTAAATATTAATTTGTTTGGCTGTACTAGGTCTTAGCTGTGGCATGCAGGATCTTTAGTTGTGGCATATAAGCTCCAATTCCCTGACCAGGAATTGAACCCAGGCCCCCTGCATTAGGAGTGAAGAGTCTTAGTCACTGGACCACCAGGGAAGTCCCGTTGTTTTTCTCTTTCTGCTCTCATCTGTACCTCTCTCCCACCTGATGCTCTGTCTCTCACACACGCCAGGAGCTCCATAAATATTTGTTCTCAGTCAGCCTTGGACTACGCCTCTTTCTTTTATTCGTTTCTCCATCCTTGAATCTTCCTGACTGTCACATATTTGAATTTTATAACCATATGCTGGTTGGCCTGCCCTCCCCACCCCAGTGTGCGCCTGTACACCCACACGGGATAAGCTTCTTCTGCCTGCTGATCTCCTGCAGGAATTGGAACTGCTCGCTTTCTCTCTCTCTCCCCTCCACGACCCCCATCTGGTCCTCCCTACACAAGACGAGGCATCTGGGCTGAGCCCCCACAGCTCCATCCTTGACTCTAGTTTAGTCTGTCTTCTTCCCTCCCGTTATTAACTCCTTGCCCTCCTCCCCTGTTCCCTCTCCCAACTGGCCCCACGCCTCCTGGGGAACGGGCTGGGTGCACAGCTGGAGGTTCTGTCATAGGGCCGTCACCAGATGGTGTCTCTCAGGGCCCGGGCATAGGGCTGTCCGTTGCTGGGACCTTTAATTAGCACGAACCTTCCACCCTCCAACCTTGGATGTTTTCCTTCTCTGGATGCTCCTGGGACCTCAAACTCTCCATCTTTCCATGCCTGTGGCCCCCAGAGAGCCAGGAAGGGGAAGTGATGTCAGATGCCTGGAAAAGCAGCCTTTCTACCTGACTTCCACCCCAAGACTCAGGAGTCCTAGCCACAAGCCCATCCTATTTCAAAATCCAGGGGCTGAATCCCCAAAACAGAAGCCACTCAGACTCCAGAGGCCAGGTCCCTCCTTCCCAAGGATCTGGGTGGTTCAGGCCTCCAGTCCTTCCCCCCAACCCCATACACACACACACAGGACTTAGGGCAGATGTTCAGTGCCGGCTGATTTTCAAATCCTCCTGGGCCTGTGAGGGGGTGGGAGAGAGATTGGTGGTTAAATCCACTGACTCTAAGACTTAAGACCAGATTTTCTGACCTCAGGTCATCCTTTCCCAACTGCACTCTGCTTCAGGCAGGGGCCCTAGTTGAGTCCCCAGTGCCTCAGAAACTTGGCGTTCAGGCCATTAACTTCTTGGTCATCAGAGGTCTGAACTCCTAGTCTTAGCATCCTGGAGGGGGGGTGGGGGGAAGGCGTCCATGTCCCTGCTATTTAGGGACACAAGAATCTGAGCTCGGAACAACGGAGTACAGATCCCCAGTCCCTACAGGTTTAAGAATGCCATACCCAGGGTCCCAGGCCCCCAGTCCCCCCCTTCTGTCGGCTTCGGGTTCCACCCACCTGCCCTGCCAGCTGCGCAGCGCACCGCCGGCCGGCAGCGTGGGAACGCCCCAGCTGGGCGACATGCAGCCGTCAGGACAAGCTGCGCGGTTCCCAGCCTCCCTGCCTGACTCAGCCCGGGCATCGCCGCCTCCCAGCCGTCGCCCGGCAACCACTGCTGAGTGGGGCGAGGGGGTGGTCCCGAACTGCAGGGTCCTGGGAAAGGAGGGGCGGGGTTAGGGGGCCTGGATTCCTGGATCTTAGGACGAGCTGTGATTTGCAGCGGTAAAAAGGCGGGCACTGAAGGCGTTTTGAGGTGGGGAGAACTGAACCCTCTCTTCTTGGGGGTCCCAGCAGCCCCCCAGGCAAACATGGTGCCCTCTTCTTGACCCACAGGCCCAGAGGAGCCCCGGGCCCCGCCTCCCCAGGGCGTGGAAACTAGCGAGTCCCCAAGGGTTCCCATTTATAGCTGCGTTTCCACTCAGCGCGGTCCCTCCAGGACCCGGGTTGAGCAAGTTTCTTCCACTCCCTCCCCTCCCTCCTCCTTACCCCCAGCCATCCCCCAACCCCGGCAGGGTGCAGGTGTCCAACCCAGCCGGTACCCCCGCCTTCGACCCAGGTGTTCCAGCTCCCAGACCGTAAGGGGTCTGGAGTGTTCACCCGCTGGCGGGGACGCAGCCCTGCGTGCCCCCATTCATCCGCGTCGCGGCCGCGAGAGTTTCTCAATGGGAAGAGGGCGGGTCTCCCACGGGGCGGGCCGGGGCGGGGCGAGTGGGGGGCGGGCCGGGGCGGGGCGAGTGGGAACCGGCCCTCCAGGGTCTCTCGGAGACCTGGCGCGCTGAACTGGCAGGCGTTTCAGAGCAGCGGAGCCTGCGGCGGAGCAGACGAGGGGACCTCCAGGTCAGAGAGAGGGGAGCTTCTAGCCTGGGGCGAAGAGTCAGGAGCGGAGGGGACTCCAGGCCAGAGTGGTGGGAAGTGTGCTCCGAGAAAGGAACTGGCAGGGAAGCCAGTGCAACAGCAAGTCTGCTGGATCTTAGGGGACACACTCGGGATGCTCGTGCCCGTACTCCTCGTCCTCTCCTTCTGCCTCAGGGGGCGTGCAGGTACCGCGAGGGGCCGGCGCAGATACATACAGGAGAGGGTCGTTTGCTAGCTGTCGCTTTGCTGGGGTAGATGGGGCTGAGGGTCCAGACTCCTGGGTCTGACGGAAGAGAACTCTGGGAGCCTGGGCTTCTGGGTCTGAGGGCAGAGGGGATTGGGGACTGGATTCTATCCGGAGCTCCTGAATATGCTAAGCTCGGCTCTGTTCCCTCGCCCCACTCTCCTAGGCCTGGCACCCCACTTTCTGCAACAGCCAGAGGACCAGGTAGTTCTGTTGGGAGACGAGGCCCGGCTGCCCTGTGCCCTGGGCGCCTACCGGGGACTGGTTCAGTGGACTAAGGACGGGCTGGCTCTAGGGGGCGAAAGGGACCTTCCAGGTGAGATTTACTATTTCTTCAGGGAGGGACTGGCTCCAGGGTGAGGATGCTGGGCTTTAGCTACAACTGAAGTTTCTAGATTGACATTTTCAAGTTTAGGAAATTAATGGGCTCAGGGAAACATTTGGGGGTCGTGAATTTTCAGGATCTTCTTTGCAGCTGGTTTGGAAATTTTTATTTTGATTGTAAAATAGTGCATCAGTGCCAAATAGCACATAAAACATAAATGGAAGATGTGTCAAATAATTCTAAAATAGATATCTGTGTAACAACTACCCATCCCCTGTTGCCAGCTCCCCAGAAGCCCTCCTTATTCCCTTCTCTCATAGCTCACTCCCTCCCTACTACCTACAGGTAGTATATACTCTGATTTTTATGGCAATTGTTTTCTTGCTTTTTCTCCCCCTGAATTTATAATCCCCCCAAGTTTGTAGTGACTCTGGACTGGGAAAGGATTAGTGTCTCTCTGGCCCAGCCCCCACTTTTGGTAGTGTCTTTCCAGTGTAAGATGCCTGGGGATGGAGGCCTGGGACCAGGAACTCAGAACCACGGTGTGACTGCCTCTGTCCCTGACTCCAGGCTGGTCCCGGTACTGGATATCAGGGAATGCAGCAAGTGGCCAGCATGACCTCCACATTAGGCCCGTGGAGCTAGAGGATCAAGCATCGTATGAATGTCAAGCAACACAAGCCGGCCTCCGCTCTCGACCAGCCCAACTGCATGTGCTGGGTGAGGACTCTGCCCACTTGTCCCTGGGGAGCCCAGGGGAGGGGGGGGGGATCCACCAGTGCAAGCTGGGAATATCAGAGTCCGGGGAGAACAAAGGAGAGGGCAGTTAGAGCTGGGAAGATCAGGGTCTCTAGGACCAAGATCCAGCTCTGACCCCAGATCCACCCTACAGTGCCTCCAGAACCCCCCCAGGTGCTGGGCGGCCCCTCTGTCTCTCTGGTTGCTGGGGTTCCCGCGAATCTGACCTGTAGAAGCCGTGGTGATGCCCACCCCACCCCTGAGCTGCTGTGGTTTCGAGATGGGGTCCGGCTGGACGGGGCCATCTTCCGTCAGGTCAGGTCCAAGTCTCTGTGCCAGCCCTTCCCTGCTCATTGAGGGAAATTCGGGGGTCCACTCGGACCACAGGCTCATGCAGAGGAGAAGGGCACGAGAAGGCAGAGATTCAAGGCTTGGGATCCTTGGTATGTACTTAAGCATAGGGACTCTAAGGCTAGACTATGCGTGCATGCTAAGTCACTTCAGTTGTTTCCGACTCTTTGTGACCCCATGGTCTGCCAGGCTCCTCTGTCCATGGGATTCTCCAGGCAAGAATACTGCAGTGGGTTGCCATGCCCTCCTCCAGCAGATCTTTCTGACCCAGAAATCAAATCTGCATCTCTTATGTCTCTTGCATTGGCAGGCAGGTTCTTTACCACTAGTGCCACCTGGGAAGCCCCCATAGGGCTAGACTACCTGGGTTCAAATCCTGGCTCAGTCACTTGTTAATTGATTGATCTTAACCTCTCTGCCCCTCAGTTTACTTATCTGTACAGTGGAGTTAATAGTAGTATGCATGTCTAGGATTACTGGAAGATTAAATAAAGGAATATTTATAAATGCCTGGAAGAGTGACTGACATTAAGTACTACCTAAAGGTAGATGAAATCATCATTATTATTCACAACCTACAGACCCCATTGAAGGAAGGAACCATCGGGTCAGTGGAGAGCATTTTATCTTTGACCCCTTCCAGCCATGATGATGGAGCCACCTTGGTTTGCCGGGCCCGGAGCCAGGCCCTGCCTGCGGGGAAGGACACAGCTGTCACATTGAGCCTGCAGTGTGAGTGCAATCAGACACTGGGCCTTGAGCCTGAGGTCCTTGGAGAAAGAAGAGCCTGGGATCTGGATTTCAGGGCATGAGAAAGGAGGGGGCTTTGTACCTCGGTTCCCTGGGGGAATTGGGAACTGGAAGCCTAGACTGCTAGCTGAAAGGGAAGAGGGGACTGGGGATCAGACTCCTGGGGTGGAGGAGCTGAGAACTGGACTCCTAGGTCATCAGTGGAGGTGTTCCATGTCCTTGCCCACCACTGACCACTGACTGACCCCTACAGACCCCCCAGTGGTGACTCTGTCTGCAGAACCACAGACAGTACAGGAGGGAGAGAAGGTCACTTTCCTGTGCCAGGCCACAGCCCAGCCTCCTGTCACCGGCTATAGGTGAGGACCAGCTTGGGGAGGACTGGGGCTAGGACCTGAGTAGGTGTGCCTGTGGATCAAGGACAACACCAACACCCCACCATCTTCGCAGATGGGCGAAGGGGGGCTCTCCGGTGCTCGGGGCCCGCGGGCCAGTGTTGGAGGTAGTGGCCGACGCTTCATTCCTGACTGCGCCGGTGTCCTGCGAGGTCAGCAACGCAGTGGGTAGCGCCAACCGCAGCACAGCGCTGGACGTGCAGTGTGAGCCGGGGCGGGGCCGGGGGCGTGGCCAAAGTGGGGCGAGCAGAATGGGACAGGGGCTACCGTGAGGCGTGGCTACGACGGGCTGCCGGGGATGGTGGGCCGGGTGTAGGATTTAGGCGGGATTTGGCCGTGCTGGATCAGTGCCAAAGTGAAGCAGGGGCGGGGCGAGAGTGGGGCTGAGGCTTGTAGGCCAGACGTGTGTGCCGATTTGAGAACTGGGGTCTTCAACCCAATGGGCCCTTGTGGGTGTCGTTTCTGAGTGTCTGCTCCGGAGTCAGAAGTTGCTTCCCTCCCTGGTCATGTGGCCCCTCTTCGGTCTCCTCCAGTTGGGCCGATTCTGCAGGCAAAGCCGAAACCCTTGTCTGTGGACGTAGGAGAAGACGCCTCCTTCAGCTGTGTCTGGCGCGGGAATCCACTCCCACGAGTAACCTGGACCCGCCGCGGGGACGCACAGGTGAAGCCAGATCTGGGGCTTGTGGCCGCGGCTGGCAGTAGGGGGGGCTTCCTCCCAAGGTCGCGCCCTTGACGCCCCTTCCGTTTCCCAGGTGCTGGCCTCCGGGCCCACGCTGCGTCTTCCCGCGGTGGGGCCCGAGGATGCAGGCGACTACGTTTGCAGGGCCGAGCCGGGGCTCTCGGGCCGGGGCGGTGGCGCTGCGGAAGCTAGGCTGACTGTGAACGGTGAGAAAGAGGCGCTTCCTAGTGGGCCCGGCGGGTTCCGGGATAAGAAGTGGGCAGAGGGGATGAGGTCTAACGGGAGTGGGGGTGGCCATGAGAAGAAGGGGGTGGTGCCTGGGGATTGCTGCTGAACCTACAAAAGGCTAACCTCAGTAGGGTTCACGTTTGTTGAGAGGAGTGGGATGGTAGGTTGAGGTTAGTGAGGAGAGCCCAGGCCTGACCCAGCCAGCTTGAGAATGGGCTTCGGGGAGGGCGGGGCCTCTCTTCTGACTGGCTCACAATCTCCAAACCAGCTCCCCCTGTAGTGACCGCTCTGCACTCTACGCCTGCCTTCCTGAGGGGCCCCGCCCGCCTCCAGTGTCTGGTCTTCGCTTCCCCTGCCCCAGAAGCCGTGGTAAGGAAAGTCCCCGTTCTCATGACCCATCCTGCCACCCTGACCTCCTAGACAGACTCCCCAGGCCGATGTGATTTCCTCTGACTTTTCCCAGGCCCTGCCCACCCCTTCCTGCCCTCCGGAGTCTCCTCAGTGACCTTCCTCTTTTGTGCCCCCAGGTCTGGTCTTGGGATGAGGGCTTCCTGACGGCGGGGTCACGGGGTCGGTTCCTGGTGGAGACCTTCCCAGCCCCAGAGGGCCTCGGGGGACAGGGTCCAGGCCTGATCTCTGTGCTACACATTTCGGGGACCCAGGAGTCCGACTTTCACCGTGGCTTCAACTGCAGTGCCCGGAACCGATTGGGTGAGGGAGGCACCCAGGTCAGCCTGGGCCGTAGAGGTGAGATTCTGGGCCTGAAGACCCCAAATCTGAGGTTTTCAAACCCTCAAAATGCCACAATTTCCAAACAGAAGACCCTCAAAGGCAGAGCCTTAGAACCTTGGAAGCCTCAAAACTAGGAGTCCCTTGAATCCTGAGACCACCCCCGCCCCCAAAAATAATTTCTGTCAAATACAGAATCCTAAACTGAAAGACCTCTCACACTTAGGGACTCCAAAGAAGGCTACCTCCAAATATAGAGAATTGCAAAGTAAAATACCTTCAAACTTTATGACTTCTTAAAGTCAGGGAATCTAAACTTATGAAATCCCAGGTTCATGTGCTGTTAAACCCAGAGACCCCAGGCCAGGGGACTACAAAACTTGGGAATCCCCAGACTTGATGACCTTTGACCAGAGGTTCCCTTACTCAAGCCCTGTTCCCCAGTTCCTGCTCAGTCATCTGCTCAGCCTCCTCAGAAACCCCCTCCCCTTCTTCCCACAGACTTGCTGCCCACTGTGCGGATTGTGGCCGGAGTAGCCGCCATGGCCATGACTCTCCTTATGATCATCACTGGGGTGGCTCTCTGTTGCTGGCGCCACGGCAGGGGTCAGTGTCTGAACCCCACCCCAGACCCCCACACAGGTCCTGTACACTGGCTGCTCTGGCCTTGGGGCTTGTCCCAGTCCTGCCTCTCCAGACCCCCTTTGGGCTTGGCTCCCATTCAAAGTCTGGTTCCCAGCTCAAGCTCTAACTCCATCTCCTCAGGGTCACACCCCTTGCCCTCCTAGGCCAGTGGTCTCTTTGATTCCCAGCCTTCCAGCCTGATTCGCCCCAGCCCTCTCTCCTCCTGCTCACTGGTCTCCACAAACCATGACCCAGCCCCATCACTTACCTTTGCCCCCACCTCCAATGTTCCTGGGCTCAGCCTCTTTCTCCAAGCAAAAGAACCTGGTGCGAATCCCAGGGAGCAGTGATGGCTCCAGTTCCAGGGGCCCCGAGGAGGAGGCAGGCAGCAGCAAAGACCAGGTAGGATGTGAGGGTTCCAAGACCTGATGGTACCTCAAAACCAAATAGTAACCAGTTGTGATCCCTGTCCCAATCAGGCCCCCCAAACTCAAATAGAGCCCTAGTCCCAACAGTGACCCCCAGATCCAAATGTCTCCCAAATCCAAGTATGCCCCATCCCAATTATTCCCTAGCCCTGTCCCCCTACTCCTTGTTGTTCTGTGTCCAGACCCCAGCTCCCAAGAGCCCTTCGTCCTTCCTTCCTGGCCTCAGATGTTCAACTGAGGGTCTCTGGGGTCTGGCATCCCCTGCAGTGTAGTCTACACTCCCTCTCACTAAGTACTCTACCCCAGGGCCCCATCGTGCACACAGACCACAGTGACCTGGTTCTGGATGAGGAGGGGGCTCTGGAGACCAAGGTGAGTGTTGGGAAAAGAGGGGCTCCCTTCACTGTGTCTCCAACTCTCTCCACTTCTGTTCCCTCCTTTTTCATTCTGGCCCCTAGGTCCCTCTACCCACTTATTTTTTAAATATTATCTATTTATTTGGTTGTGTTAGGTCTTAGTTGTGGCACGCAGGATCTTCAATCTTTGCTGCCATATGCAGGATTTTTTTTAGTTGCCACATGTGAGATCTAGTTCCCTGATCGGGGATCTAACTCTGCACTGGAACTCTGCCTTGGCCTTCTGCATGGGGAACAGGGAGTCTTAGCCCCTGGACCAGCAGGGACATCCCCCTCCACCCATTTCTTGCTGCCTCCTGGGCTGTCTCATCCACCTTCACAGTCTCAGTTGGTTTGTCTGCTGACTATGCCCACATATCTGCCCCAGCCTTGGCCTGCATCTTGAGCCCCAGTTCAAGGTTCACTCTGCCTGTGCTTTCCCCATCAGAGGCCCACACCACACATCAGGCCTCCTAAATGCCTCTCCCTGGTTGCTTCACCCAGGCCCCTTCTGCCTACCAGTTTCCACACTAGCGTCACATTTCCCCAAACTTGTCCGTCCTTTGTTCCCCAAAAAATGGGGCCCCACTGACCCCACTTCCCAGTCCAGAGCCCTTCTCTCTCTCTCTACCTAGCAGATGCTGGTCTCTTGGCCTGAAACACTCCTTTCTTCATGTGTGCTAAGTCGTTTCAGTCCTGTCCGACTCTTTGTAACCCTGCTAGGCTGCTCTGTCAATGGGATAACCCAGGCAAGAATACTGAAATGGATTGCTGTGCCCTCCTCCAAGGGATCTTCCTGACCCAGGGATCGAACCCACATCTCTTATGTCTCCTGCATTGGCAGGCAGGTTCTTTACCTCTAGCGCCACTTGGGAAGCCCCTTTTCTTCACATACCTACCTAGTTCTCTCCGTTATTCCTCTGGTGTCAGTTCAAACATTTCTTCTTTTGTTTTTAAGATTTATTTATTTATTTATTGGCTGTGGTGGGCCTTTTGGTACTTCCTGCAGGCTTTTCTCTAGTTGCAGTGAGCGGAGGCTACTCTCTAGTTGTGGTGTGTGGGCTTCCCATCTCGGTGGCTCCTTATATTGCAAAGTACGGGCTCTAGGGCTCATTGCAACACATGGGTCCAGTTGTTGTGAAGCACAGGGTTGGTTGCTTCATGAAACATGGGATCTTCCTGGACCAGGGATCAAACCAGTGTCCCTTGCACTGACAGGCAGATTCTTAACCACTGGACCACCAGGAAAGCCCTCAAACATTTTTTGTGCTGGAAAACTTTTGCTTCTCTCCTCCTAGCCCTGATCATTCTGTTTCACCTGTCACAGCCAGGACCACTGTGATCTAGGCTTCCCCACCACAGTCTGAAGGTTCTCGCATCACTGTTACAGTCACTCTGCCTGAATCTCCTCCATCACATCCTTGACCCTTCCTGGTTCCATCTGGTGACTCATCATATCTCCTTTGACCTGCAATCTCCATGAAGATGGGACTGAGAGAGATGTCTCCAGCAGCAGCACATAGAGTCAAAGCCTCAGGCTGTTGGGCAAATGCATGAATGGATGTCTTGATCTCCATTTCTCTCTCTTGTTCCCTCTGCATCTCCTTTCCATACCACCATCCCTTGGCAGACTTCTGTCTCTGCCTTTCTCTGTCCATCTCTTTCTGTCCTTTCATCTCTTTACTGTTTTTCTGTCTCACTTTGCCCTTCTACCAGTCTATACGTCTCTGGATTCTCTGCCTGCTCCTCCTTCTATCTTTTCGTCTCTCCCTAGGTCTGGTTCTATCTCAGTGTGTCTCTCTATTCACTTACCCTCATCCCTCTATACCCTCACATACCTTACCAAGTCCCATTTTGTTCCCTCAGGACCCAACCAATGGTTACTACAAGGTCCGAGGAGTCAGTGTGAGCCTGAGCCTTGGAGAAGCCCCCGGAGGAGGTCTCTTCCTACCACCCTCCTCCCCTCTTGGACCTCCAGGAACCCCTACCTTCTATGACTTCAATCCACATCTGGGCATGGTCCCCCCCTGCAGACTGTATAGAGCCCGGGCAGGCTATCTCACCACACCCCATCCTCGAGCTTTTACTAGCTACATCAAACCCACATCCTTTGGACCCCCAGATCTGGCCCCCAGCACTCCTCCCTTCCCATATGCTGCCTTCCCCACGCCCAGCCACCCACGTCTCCAGACTCATGTGTGACATCTCTCCAGCTGAAGAGTCCTGGGATCTTCAACTTGCATAATGGATTGTCCTGATTTCTGAGTAACCAGAACAAACTGGCAACCTACCCTTCCAAAATTGAACCTTGAGGGGAAGGAAAGATCATTACAATTGCCTGGGTCATTGATGTACAGTCAACTCAGCCAAAGGGGATGTCCCGAGTGGAAGCAAGAAGGCCACTGGGCCTGCTTCTTCCTGTGTAAAAAAGAGATTCAAGAGGGCAGATGGGCCCTTTGCAGAGGGATGGGAACAGGGGTGATGGGAGTTAGGGACAGAGAAGGAAATTGCTTCCAAACATTGAAAGAAGAGATTTCAAGATGGCCACCCACATTAAGAAGAAAGGCAACATAAAGCAGATCAAGACACAGGACCTGTCCTTGCTATCCCCAAGGGGTACTTTGCTTCACCCATGGAATTGCTGTCAAAATGGCCATTCATTCTCTGGGAATCCAAGATGGCCACCATCTTTGATTCTTTCTTCCTTCCTTAAAGGTCCTGGAAGAATCAGGCCCAAGGAGTAAGGACAGGGTAAGAGCTGTTGTGGTGGTGGGAAGCGGGGAAGGAGTGGTGTTGGAATCTGGGAATGAGAATATTTATGTTCAATTAAAAAAAAAAGTTGCAAAGTGAATATCTTAGAAATCCCCTGGCATTATTACTGTCTATCAAGGAAGGGGTACATCGAACCTGCCCCAAGGCCCTTCCTCTTACCCTAGACTATGAAGTGGCTGTAGAAAAAAAACATGAGCCAACCCACAGCCCTTTACTATCCATTGAGCACTCATGCTGCAGTCCATGGGGTCGTAAAGAGTCGGATATGACTGAGTGACAACTGAACTGAACTGAACACTCTAAGCTCTTTTAAGATACATTTAGACAAACAAACATGTGCAGATGCACACACATGACAGGACTGCCCCAGTCTGCTTGGGGAAGACAATTCTACACTGTATTTTGGGAAGAGAAGGAAGTGAACCCTGAAGGGGAGGCAGCAAAGGAGAGGCTAGGGGTGGGAAAAGAGAACTGTCCTGATCCTCAGAGCAAGAATGGGGGTTGACCCTTATCTTGAGGTGATAGGTACCTGACTCGGCTCATCCTTAAAGAAAGGGTCTGGGGGCTTTGGTTCATGCATCCTTGATCTAGGAATTAAAGGTCTATGACTAGGGCTCCTGGAAAGCAGAGCAGAAGGCCTGGACTCATTGATCTTAGGGAGAAAGGGCCAAGGGCTTGGTCTCTGGTCCAGAGAGAGAAGGTACCTGGGACCCAGACTCTTGGATCTGAGGGAGAAGAGGACTGGGTGTCAACTGCTGTGGGGTTTTGTCTGATTGTTATTTTAAATCAAGCCATTTTATTGAAGGGTTTCAGAGGAGGGTGGAAAGGCTGGGAGAACAATGAGAGCCGACCTCCTTTTGCTGGCCAGAATCTCCCCAGCTTCACGGTCGTTTAAAGCTCAACTGCTGTGTTCTTGATTGAGGAAATTTTGGAGGCCTAGGACCTCAAGAGGTGACCTCAAGAGGATCTGGGGGTGGGGTAGGGGCTCCTGTGCTGGCGTCCCTGGAAGAGAAGGAAGACGTTTAGTGAGCGTCTGGGACCAAGGGAAAAAACAGGAGGTGACGGTCTTGGAGAACTCAAAATCCACAACTACGAAGCCTGTGACCCAGACCCCCGGGTAGGCCCTTCCATAGGTGGGACGCCTGGAGTCCCCCACAAGGGGGCGGGGGCCTTGCGCAGGCTCTCACCAGGCGCTTCCAGGCTGCTCAGCTGTGCGCAAAGCTGCCACGCTATTGTCCTGGCCGGGAAGGCGGGGCCGGCGCGGGGCGGGGCTGGCGGCGCCGGCGCAGCTCGGGGGCGTCGGCGGAGGAGGCGGCGGCCGTGGCGCTGGGAGCTCCTGTCACCGCTGGGGCCCGGCCGGGCGGGAGTGCTGGAGACGTGAGGGCGCGAGGGCCCGGACATGGGGCCCGCCAGCCCCGCCGCTCGTGGTCTGGGCCCGCTGCTGCGGTTGCTGCCACTGTTGCTGCTGCTTCTGCGCGTGCAGCTCGCCGAAGGGAACCTGCCCGGTGGGAGCCCCAGCGCGGCCGAGGTGAGGCCCGGCCGAGCCCTAGCGGGTGGGGGAACGGGCGGGACCGGGCCTCTGGACCCCGGGGCGGATAGGTGCGAAGCAGAAAGCGCAGTCTTTTCAGCCAGGTGGCCAGCCCCCAGGTGCCCCTAATAGCGCTAGGCGTTCAGAAACCCCTAAGTCCAGGCCCCAGCGTCGTCCCGAAGTCTAGCCCCTTCAGACCCTCTCGACCTAGGTGACTCAGCCCCAGCCCCTGCCCATCTGAATAGGACCCGCCGGGCAGCAAGGCACCTAGAGCCAAGAATCTGGGCCCCTTTTATCCTCGGGACCCATATGAAGACTCCCGCAAGGCTCCCAGAACCCAGGAACCTCCAGCCACCGCCCCGCCTCAAACCCAGGATGTAGCTCTCCATCGCCCAAGGACTGAGTGTCCAGGCCTGAAGGGCCCTGAAGCCAGGCCTTGTGGTCTTTCCACTCGAGAATGCGAGCGTGAGCTAGGGACGGAGGGAGGAGGGGCCAGAACGCCTGGGTTCTGGCCTCCCCCGCCATTCAAGTTTAACCCCTTCGAGCTCCAGTGCGGCTGCGCTGGGGTGAGGGCGGGGCTTGTCTCCGCGGCAACAAGGCCGTGAGAATCCCGGGAGACCCCGAGTTGCCATAGCAACGGCAGAGCTGGGGCGGCCCCCGGCCCAGTGGGAGCTGTTACCCAGGGAACCGAACCTCCACAGAGGCGGGTGCGCGGTGCTTGATGGAGGGGGCTGGTGCTGGGGGTGTGACCATCTGGGTCCTAGGGAGCAAAGGACCGGGGGACTCACATGTCAGCGTCCCCCGTGCCCTCGCTGACCCCTCCGCCCCCACCCCCAGGCCCCAGGGTCTGCCCAGGTGGCTGGACTATGCGGGCGCCCAACCCTTCACCGGGACCTGCGCACCGGCCGCTGGGAACCAGACCCACAGCTCTCACGACGCTGTCTCCGGGACCCGCAGCGCGTGCTGGAGTACTGCAGACAGGTAGGCGGGACCAACTGAGAGGGGCGTGGCCAGCAAAAAAGCGGGTCCGGGTTGGGACCAGGTTGCCCTTAAGACGCTACCCGTGCAAAGGCAAGGTCCGGGGAAATGAGGGGTTCAAGAAGGCATGGGAAACTAGGGGACATGGCCAACAAAGAGGCAAAGTTAGGATAGGACAGGACCTGGTTTTGAGAAACTAGGTCAAGAAAAGAGAAGAACCGTGCAAACACGGCCAGCTGAGGACAGTGTCCAGTGATGAGATGGAATTTAACAATGTGGTGGACACTTTAAAGAGCAGGTGTAGGTGGGCGTGGCAAGTAAGAGGCGGGGCTAAGACAAAAAGACCTTGTGGACTCGAGTGACTGGGAAAGGGGTGAAACCCAATGGGAGAGTGGAAAGCTAGGAGGTGTGGCTGTGAAAAAGCAGGTCTAACACAAAGAGAAAGGATCCTGAGAGGCCAGAGGCGAGGCTTAGAGAAGGGTGGAATCTATGGGGAGATGAACTTGATTGGGGGAAGGGGCAGAAGCGACTAGAAAAGAGGTGGACTTAAAGGGAGAGCTTTGGGGTAATGGAGGGAGCTTCATAAAGAAACCCGACAGGCAAAGGGGCGGAGCCTAAGGATGGAAGGGAGCGGTACTAAGGGGGGTGGCCAATGGCTTGTGGGGCTTAGATATCTTTTAAGTCCTGTTCTACGGGCCTAGGGAAGAGTGGGTCTTTCGAATACTAGAGCCTTGAAAAGGGACACGCCAGCGCAGGAGCGCACCTGGTAGGGGCGAGGCAGAGGGCTGATCTCCCCGACTCGGTGCCCCCAGATGTACCCGGAGCTGCAGATTGCCCGTGTGGAGCAGGCGACGCAGGCCATCCCCATGGAACAATGGTGCGGAGGTGCCCGGGGTGGCCACTGTGCCCATCCCCACCACCAAGTTGTGCCTTTCCACTGCCTGCGTGAGTCACAGGCCGGGGGGTTGGGGAACGGAAGGTGGGGGGTTGGGTGGTAGTCTCCAAGGGATGAGAGTCTGGCCCTGGTCTCGGGCTCGCATTAAGGAGCTAGGTGCCTGAGTCCACAGTGGGACAGAAGCCTCTGAGGGTAAAAGATCTGAATTCTGGGGAGGGGGGAAGTGGGTAGGGCTAGTGGCTGTGGGAGTGTCTCACACCGATGCCCCCCCCCCCCCTATTTTCCAGCCGGTGAATTCGTGAGCGAGGCCCTGCTGGTGCCTGAAGGCTGCCGGTTCTTGCACCAGGAGCGCATGGACCAGTGTGAGAGTTCAACCCGGAGGCAGCAGGAAGCACAGGAAGTAAGGACCCAGCCCCTCATCCTCCCACCCCTCCCGGAGAACCCAGGATTCCAATCCTCTAACACCCTCCTCCTCCACAACCCGAGTCTGAGCCTCAGCCCCCTCTCCCCAGTGGGACAGAACCGGGAATCCAGGCTCCAAGCCCCATCAGCTCCTAAGACTCAGGCATCCAGGCTCCCCCTCCACCCTTCCTTACCCCCCAGACCTGGTATCTATGCCCACTCTTCCCACAGGCCTGCAGCTCCCAGGGCCTCATCCTGCATGGCTCAGGCATGCTTTTGCCCTGTGGCGCAGATCGGTTCCGAGGTGTGGAATATGTGTGCTGCCCACCTCCAGCGACCACCAACCCTTCTGGGACAGCAGTTGGGTGAGTGATAGGGAACCCTCCAGGCCCAATCCTCCAGGCTCCTGAGGCAGGAGATGGAAGCCTGGGGACCTAGGCCCAGGTTCTTATTTCCTTGGGTCTTCTGCTCCCTCAGTGATCCCTCCACCCGGTCCTGGCCCCTGGGAAGCAGAGTTGAGAGGGGCGATGACGAGGAAGAGGAGGAATCCTTCCTGCAGCCAGTAGATGATTACTTTGTGGAGCCCCCACGAGCTGATGAGGAGGAGGAGGAGGAGAGAGTCCCACCCTCAAGCTCCCAGACCCCTGCAGGGGTCAGCAAAGGTGAAGCCATCTCTAAACCCCACCCTCTCCACCCTAGAAGGAAGATGATTTAAGAGAGTTTTGGTGTAGGGGCATTTGAGGAGGGACCTACTGGGGAGAAGCCCTGTGGGGGAAATAGGAGGGATGGGAATGGCTTTGGATAAAGTAGAGGTGGAAGGGCCACCCTGTGAGGAATGCAAAGGGTAAGGGTGGTTTGGGGGTACCCAGAATTGGTATGTCTGAAGGATTATTTGGAGGAAAACTTGAAGGATAGTGTAATAGATTCCTAAGCTTTGCAAGAACAGGTCCAATTCAGAACCACATCTCGTGTGATGCCAGGCAGCAGCTATGGTTGAAGTGAACACACGGGGGTCTCCACTGCACTCTAGGAAATGCAGTTCTCTAGGAAGGGAAGCTGACCTGGAGCTGGGCTTCAGGCTGACTCCTGGATTCCTGGCCTTGCAGTGACTCCCACCCCGAGGCCCACAGATGGTGTGGACGTGTACTTTGGCATGCCTGGAGAAATCAGTGAGCATGAAGGCTTCCTGAGGGCCAAGATGGACCTGGAGGAGCGCAGGATGCGCCAGATTAATGAGGTGATGGTACTCGGGGCCCCAGGATCCCCCATAACACAGAGCTCCCTAATTACCAGGAAGTTGCTCGGGGACACATTGAGACTACCTCTCAAGACTCCCCAAACCTCCATCATCCCCCAGCCCTCAACCCTCCCCTAAGATGACCAGGGATCCCCAAGCCACCTAGAGTCCCACTGAGACACCACCAGATTCCATGGCAACTCTGATGCATGGTACTCTTCCACTTTAAATTCCTTCTGAATCCTCTCTCTCTTGGCGATCCAAGAGGCCGTGGGACTTAAGGGATCTGGAGACTCTGAAGAAGAATGGGATGTGGGGACTTACTGGATACAGCAGAGGGACTTCTAGGATCCTGAAGCTCCCCTTGTCCCCAGGTGATGCGTGAGTGGGCCATGGCCGACAACCAGTCCAAGACCCTGCCTAAAGCCGACAGACAGGCCCTGAATGAGGTAGGACAGCCTCCAGAGTGTCCTACTTGGGTACTTGGGCGTAATGGGCTTCAGCCTGGCTCAGGCTTTTTCTGGCCTCATCCAGTTTCACCCCTTCCTACCGATATGGGCTTCTCCTGGCCCCACCCCTACACTTGGCTCCGCCCCTGTTGGCCTACATCCAATCTGACTTTGCTTTCCTCTTCTTCCTCCTCCCACTGGCCATATTCTCCCCAGTCTTAACCTGATCCTAACTTCTGAGGGCTGGCTCTGGAGGCCTCTCCCAAGCCGGGGCCCTGCAGACACAGCCAGGTCCTTTTCAACCCCTCTTTGATGCTCAGCCCTGCCCCCTCCCCTGACTCTGGTCCTGCCCCTCTCATTTCACTTGTACCCAATCCCTCCTTAGTAGACCCGCCTCATCACTCTCCTACCCACCTCTCTCAGCCTCACCTTGGCACAACCCTACCCTGTGTAGACCCGGCTCAGCTTAGCCCCATTCCCTGACTCCTGCTCCCGTTCTACTCAGGTTTATTTAGTTACAGCCTGTCTCCAGTGGGCCCTGCCCAGGCCTAAGCCCCACCTTTCCTGCAATACTTGGTCCCTTTCGGCTTAACACGGGCCAGCTCTGTTCCTACACTCTTCCTACCCACATAGTGGACAGCTTCATCCGGGCTCCCAGTAGAGCTGGTTCTGCCCGTACTCTACCCAGCCGCTCCAGCCAGTCTCCTGTCTTCTAGTCCCAGCCCAGCTCGACTCTGCCCAGGCCTGGATCCATGTCACCCCACCCCACTTATGGTCCAATAGCCCTCCCTTTCCAGACTCCCCCTGACCTGGGTTTCATCCGGCTATGCCTCTCTCCTGACCCTGTGCCCACCCCCTTGCCAGCACTTCCAGTCCATCCTGCAGACCCTGGAGGAGCAGGTGTCCGGTGAGCGACAGCGCCTGGTGGAGACCCACGCCACCCGAGTCATCGCCCTGATCAATGACCAGCGCCGGGCCGCCTTGGAAGGTTTCCTGGCAGCGCTGCAGGGGGATCCGCCTCAGGTACGGGAACCGCGGCGGGGGCGGAGGGTGGAGAGGGCTGGGACGGGCCTGGGCAGCCTCCCTCCCTTCCACAGCCAGAGCGGGTCCTGCTGGCCCTGCGGCGCTACCTGCGAGCTGAGCAGAAGGAGCAGAGGCACACACTGAGGCACTACCAGCATGTGGCTGCCGTGGACCCCGAGAAGGCCCAGCAGATGCGCTTCCAGGTGCTCAGTTCTTCCAGCTCCCAAATACTCTGCCATCCCTCGGACCTTGGTCTCTTGGACCCCCATCCCTCAGATGCTGCTCTTGCCCCTCAGATCCTCTTTCTTTTATAGCAGTTCATTTTTGAATCTATTTCTTTTGGGCTGAGCTGGGTCTTTGTTAATGTGCAAGGGCTTTCTCTAGATGTGGCCAGTGGGGGTCACTCTTCTTTGTGGTGCTCGGGCTTCTCACAGCAGTGGTTTCTCTTGTTGCGGAGCACAGGCTCTAGGCGTACAGGCTTCAGTAGTTATAGCACGGGGGTTCTGTAGTTGTGATGCACCAGCCCAGTTGCCTCATGGCATGTGGGATCTTCCCGGGCCAGGGATCGAACCTTTGTCCTCTGAATGGGCAGGTGGATTCTTAACCACTGGACCACCAGGAAGTCCCTCAGACCCTCTGTCTGCCCCCTTGGACCTCCTTCGTCTCCCTGGATCCCCCCTTCTGTGCCTGGGACCCGTTCTAATCCCTTAGATCCCTACTTCCTGACCCTGGAACACTGCCTCCATCACCCCATGTGCTTCTGACCCCTTTCTTGTTCTTGAATTCCCACTTCCTATCCTTTGGATTCTTATTTCCTGTCCTAGAATCCCCCTCTTATGCCTGGAACCCTGTTCCTGTCCCTCAATGCTGCTTGTTCCCTAACTCTGCTTGTTTCTCCCTGAAACCCTTGTTCAGTGCCTTTAGATCCTAATTCTTATCTTTTGGATGCTCTCTTCCTGTCCAAGAATACTGATTCTGTGCTCTTGAGCTCCAAGCTTTGCCCTTGAGCCACATCATTTCTAACTTTTTTTTAAACAGGCTATATTTATTTATTTTTTAATTTTTGACCACACCCTGTAGCACATGGGGTCTTGTTTCCTAACCAGGGATCAAACCCACATCTCCTGCATTGGAAGGCAGAGTTTAATCACTGGACCACCAGGGAAGTCCCCACATGACTCTCCAATTCTACTTCCTTCTCCCGAACCCCCTCAAACCTTGCTTCCTACTCCTCAGACCCTACTTTCTACCTCTCCCCCGACTCATCTCCACTTCCTGTCTTCTATACCATAGTCCCTGTACCCTAGACTTACCTGGCCTCCTGTGCCCAACTTTTCCTAGCAGCTACTCCTTTTCCTTCTGCCTTACTTTCATTCCCAAGATTCTCACATCCTGTCTCCTGTACATCTTTTCCTTTTCATTGTATTTTGCTTCTCCGCCTTCAGTTTCCTGCCCCCCATGGCCCAATTCCTGGCCCCTGTACCCTCCTTCCTGTCCACGGTAGGTGCTACTATTCCTGGGACCCTCCTGACCTTCCTCCTTCACCCTGCCTCGGTTTCCCCTTCTGTAGCCCACGCGGCTCAGTTCATCCCTCACACTCATTCCCCAACAGGTGCAGACCCACCTTCAAGTAATTGAAGAAAGGATGAATCAGAGCCTGGGGCTGCTTGACCAGAACCCCCGCCTGGCTCAGGTGTTGCGGCCCCAGATCCGTGAGTGCCCGACCATGACCCCCCAACCTTTGACTCCTCTGCCATTTCAGTTATCTATTCCTATGTAACAACCCCCTCCCCTCACCACCCAACACACACACATGCAAACTTAGTGGCTTAAGTCGATCATTTTCACTGCTCATGATTCTGCCATCTGGGTTGTGCTGGGTGCTTCTTCTGCGGGTCTTGTCAGTAGGCAAGCGTGTAGCTACCTTGGGCTAGCAAGTCAGCTAGGGGCTGGAACTCTGGCACGAATGAGCCTCTCTCCCTTCAGAGAGGCCTCTCTTCTCCATGGAACCCCTCCATGCAGTCTCTCCAGCAAGGCACGTGGACTTCCGTGGTGGTTCAAGCTCCCCAGAGCACCGAAGTAGAAACAGCCAGGTCTTCTTAAGACCTGGGCCCACTTGATTAAAGCAAGTCACAAACCCTACCCAGATTTACACTGTGGGATCTATTCAAAAGCATGAATATCAGGAACTGTAACTGCCCCCCACCCAGAGCCCCCAGATCTATTGTAATTTCCTCTCGGATGTTGCATGCTTAACCCTAATTCTCCTGCTCTGTAAGGGGGCCATTCTCTTATTTATTTATTTGGCTACACCCTGTCTTAGTTGTGGCATGTGGGCTCTTAGTTGCTGCATGTGGATTCTAGTTCTCTGATCAGGGATGGAAACTGGACCCCTACATTGGGAGTGTAGAGTCTTAGCCACTGAACCACCAGGGAAGTCCTGAGGAGGCCATTCTCTTGAACTTCCATCTCCCTCCTCCAACATTCCACTCCCTACTCTCCCACATCTCACGTATGGCTCCCCCCAATCATGCTATTGTTAGGGTGCCATTCATTCACCCTAACAAGCACCATCATGTTTTGTGGATCCCTGTACTCATGAAATCACCCCCTTTCTGCATGTTACACTCAGAGGAACTCCTCCACTCTGAACACCTGGGCCTCAATGAACTAGAAGCCCCTGCCCCAGGGGGCAGCAGTGAGGACAAGAGTGGGCTACAGCCCCTGGATTCCAAGGATGGTGAGTTAACCCAAGCATACATAATCCCAGGCTTTGGGGGACAGGCCCTCAACTTCAGTTCTAATCCCCTAAAGTCTGGAGGTGTCTTAGCCACCGGGTGAGCAATAGAGGGTGGGAAGGAATGTCTGGGGTTGTGGAGGCCTCTGGAGGGTCCTAGATCCTCCCTCCTCGGCCCCCGGGAGGGGGTGTCCCCACACTTTCTTCAGTGATGCTCTCCTCTCTTCACGGTTCCACCTGTCTTGTCTCCTCTGGCTGCCAGCAGACACCCCCATGGCCCTTCCCAAAGGTGAGTAGCTCACAAAGTAGCCCCTGGTCACCACATCCTTCTGAATCCTTGAGCCCAGAGTGGAAAAGGGCCCACACACTGGGAACCCCAGGCCTCCTGGGGTGGGGTCTGGTGCCCCCCGACCCTTCCTCAGGCAGGGGTATCACCATTCTGGACTCTCAGGAATGAGATAGGATTTGGGGGTTAGGGTCCACAGAACAAGATGCCGCGTCCTCTGGGAAAGACAAGATGACCCCCCTGGAGCAGTACGAACGGAAGGTAAGCCAGTCAGACCTGTGGGCCCCTGAGGCAGGGCGGGAGGGGGCTGGACTCTTAGGTCTGCAGGGGGAGCACGTGGGGGGCTTGGATTCCTTGGTCTCGGAGGGAAGAAGGGCCTGAGGACATGGACTTCAGGGTCCTAGGGGAGAAGAGGGCTGGGGGATGCCCTCCTGGGCCAGGGGAGGAGGGGGCTGGAGCCGACTCCTGACACCTCCTACTCCCCCAGGTGAATGTGTCCGTTCCAAGGGGCTTTCCTTTCCACTCATCGGAGATTCAGAGGGATGAGCTGGTAAGAGGAGGAATATTCAGGGTACTTAGGGGGGGAGGTCAAGAGGTCAGTGGCTAGACTGTGACTCCTGAAGCCACACAGGGCCCTGGTCAGCCTCAGAGATGGCCCCGGCGTCCTCTCCTCCCACTGCAGGCCCCAGCTGGCACAGGCGTGTCCCGAGAGGCCGTGTCCGGTCTGCTGATCATGGGAGCCGGCGGGGGCTCCCTCATCATCCTCTCCCTGCTGCTCTTGCGCCGGAAGAAGCCCTACGGGGCCATCAGCCACGGAGTGGTGGAGGTAAGGGACACAAAGACCTGGGGTGGGGAGGAGCCCCAGAGCCCAGGAGATCTGTGGTTGGATCCCCACGGCCCACTCTCCACCCCTGCCCCCGTTGCAGGTGGACCCCATGCTGACCCTGGAGGAGCAGCAGCTCCGCGAACTGCAGCGTCATGGCTATGAGAACCCCACCTACCGCTTCCTGGAGGAACGACCCTGAACCAACCCCCTTCACCCCTTCAGCTGAGCCCAGACCTTCCCTCTTCCTGGAACCCCTGAACCCTAACTTCCAGCCTGGGGGAGAGGGTGAAAAAGTTCATTTCAGACCCTTTGTGAGGGAGCTGGAAATTCTTATTTCCCCTTTCCAATTCCAAATTCCATCCCTAAGAAATCCCTGGGTATTCCCAGCTGCCCTCCCTGCCTCCTTGAGACCTCCTCACTTTAATTTATTTTGTACGTTAATTTATTGTCCTTAAGGTGACCAGCAGCTTGGTCCCAGCGTCTGTTGTTCCCTGGAATTCATCCTCCCATGTGTCCTCCACTAATATCCCAATAAAATCCTCTTCCCCACCAGGCCATCCTCTGTCTGTCTGGGGGAATCAGGGTGTAATCAGTTCTGGACATTGGTGCGCAACCCCACCCAGACCTCCTTCACATTCTTAAACTGTGTGTGCTCAGTCGCTCAGTCGTGTTGGACTCTTTGCAACCCCATGGACTGTAGCCTGCCAGGCTCCTCTGTCCATGGGATTTTTTAGGCAAGAATAGTGGAATGGGTAGCCATTTCCTCCTCCAGAGGACCTTCCCAACCCAGGGATGGAACCTGCCTCTCCTGTGTCTCCTGCATTGGCAGGCGGATTCATTACTACTCCGGTGGATCTTTAAATTTGGGCGGGACCTTGAAAGGGGGCGGGGTCCAGAGATCTAGGATAGGCTCTCCCGCCCACCAGGAGCTTTCCGTGGTACTGAACGGACTGCCCCTTCTACGCCAGTATCAGCTAGGTTTCAGGCTGAACTCCAAGGAGACTTTGCAAATTTCCCCTGCCTTCTACTCATACACAGTCACATACAGCATCCATCCCTGACCTGTGAGCTCAATGAGGGACAGGGAATCTTGAGCCGTACTTCCCATTCCTGAGTCTTCATCCCTTCTTGGGGAGGCGATAGGAGTCCCCCTGGCGTGTGGAAATTCAACCACGTGTCCCAGTAAGGGTTATGAGTTGCCTGCAAGTGCATCCCATTTTGTGACATGCCAGAGCTATCCCTCTATACATTACTTGTTTCAAGAGGGTTTTTAGGATTAAAAGGAGTAATATTTTGTTGAGACATTGGAATTGTGCCTGGCATTTTGTAAGTATTTGGTGAATAAATTCTAAAATGACATGGGAGCAGACTCATGCCTGTGTCAGGCACTGATCCAAGGGCTTTACATGCATTGGCACACTTAGTCACCCCATGAAGTAGGTACTACAACTATCCTCATTAATAGATTAGGAAATGGAGGCAAAGAGACGTTCATCACATTCTCAAGGTAGCCATCTAGGAAGCGTTGGAGCTAGAAATCCAACCCAGGAAACCTGGCTCCAGTGCCCACACTTGGCCATTTTGCTAACCCCCTGGCTAATAATCCATGGATGTCCCATATGGTGTTCAGGTTGCTCTCTGCAACATTTCAAGTGGTACCATTCATCTCCTAGACATTGCAGATCGCATTTTTACCAGAGCTTCCCAGCAGATGGCAGTAATATGCTGTGTCCCAATATTAGGATAGCACAATTTTCTGACAGACCGCTAAGGGAGGGAGCAGTTTTTCTATTTTTCCCAAAGGACCAATGAGCTCACCGTGGTGAGCTCTACATAATATATATGTACAAATATAGGTCATGTATATTAAATATAGACATGATCATGTTAAGTATTGGGAGAAAGATGTCTACATGATGCAAGTTGGATACAATGTTACAGTTTTATTAAGAACGCAGTTTCTGGGACTTCCCTAGTGGCCCAGTAGTTAAAACACCCCACTTCCACTTCAGGGGGCACGGGTTTGATCCCTGGTTGAAAAACTAAGATCCCACATTCCTTGCAGTGTGGTCAAAAAAGAGAACCCAGTTAGAAACATCATTCTGATATGGTTTCAACATCAGGTTAGAAATCTATAACTAGCACTACAAGCAGGGGAAAACTTGCCTTTCTATTTTCACAGCCAAGGGTGATTAACAGGCTAAAAATGGCTTAGGAGCTCTGAGCAGGTGGGATAGAAAATGAAAGGCCATTTTGCTCAATATGTTCAATACATGATTCCTTAAGAATATTTGCATTTTAATGGCTATACTTAGAGTAATTAGTTTAAAAACACTGTTTTATTGAAATTCCAGCAGGAAAAATAACTTTACTATTGCTTATTTGATGCTCCTGTGCCCCCTAAGCCACTCTATTTTCCCATTGAAAGCAATTTGATTCTTTTAGTAAAGCAGTTTTCTTAGAGATATGTTGGGCTTCCCAGGTGGCTCAGTGGTAAAGAATCCGCCTGCCAATGCAGGAGACTCAAGAGAGGTGGGTTCAGTTCTTGGGTCAGAAAGATTCCCTGGAGAAGAAAATGGCAACCCACTCCAGTATCCTTGCCTGGAAAATTCCATGGATGGAGGAACCTGGTGGGCCAGAGTCCATAGGGTCGCAGTCATACACAACAGAGCGCACACAAACACACATACAGACATGTTATCATGTTAGTGGTGTCTGTGTGTGTGGATGTGGTTTTTTTTTTTTTTTCATCTTTTTGAAAATTATATTTTGACATCGATTAACTCATCTTTTTGCTTCATGTGGATGTGTTTTGATACACGTTGGGATACATATATGTCAACAGAATCTAAGATGCTATCAAAAATAAATACCATTATTTTGTATACCACAAAGGAAAAATATGCTGACATTAAACTAGGTCACATAATTGACTGTAAGATAAATTCCTATTAAGTTCTTCCTAGAACTGATGAAATATGACATATTTCTATGAATTTTTCATGGGTCAGCTGCCAGGATGTGAGTACACACAGAGGAGCACACAAATGCTGGTCCAAGGCAGCTGATGTGGGAGACTGGTGCTGGCACCACCAATGACCCCCACCTCCCAGTCTTGTCCTTGGGTAGTACCCTCCTCCCCACAGATTCTGGGCTTGGCCACATGACGGACTTTGACCAGTGTGGTGTCAGCAAGCATGATGTGAGCAGGGGCTTGTTCTCTTGGAGCTATCATGTGAAGGGATCCTCCCACCCTCCTGGAGGGACCAGAGAGGGATGCTCGGTTCACTCTCAGGGGTTTCAGCCATCTTGACCAAACTCTGACATCCAAGTGCCATTGTCCAGCCCAAGCAGGCCTCCAGCTTACTGCAGCCACACGAATGACCAAAGCAAGACAGCAGAACTGCCCAGCTCAGCCCAGCCCAGATTGCAAAATCATGGCCAAAAAAAGTGGTGGCTGTTTTAAGCCTTAGGTCTTGGGGTAGAGACACTTGCCCACACCCTCAAGTGTGCCTGGTTTGCTGTCCGTGAGAGGCTCCAAGCAGTGGGGACTAACATGGGTCAGAGGGCTTTCTGGAGGGATGAGATTGGAATGGAGGCCAGAGCAGAGGCTGTGGGGCAGATATGAGAAGGGGACATTGTGGAGGCCTTCTGTCTTTAGTTAAGGTTTCTCCAGAAGCAGAGGCTGAGGCAAGGATATGAGGACATGATTACCTGGAAGGGCCGGAAAACACTGGTTGGGGAAGCAAGAAGTGACACAGAAAAGGGAAAAAGCTGCCACAAAAGGGCAGGTTAGCAAGCCAGGACCACTGGGTAGAGAACTGGAGGCTCATTCCGTCAGGGAACTTTGAGAGCCTGTGCACAACACACACAGTCAGCCCCACTGAGGGGGTGGGCCTGGAGCATTTACACACTATCTCCCTTCAGTCAGTCACTGGTTGAGGGCTACTGGAGTGGGAAGAGGCAAAGTGGGCACCAAGGGTCTGAGAAGGCCCACAGGCAAAGATTCACGTGCTGGCCCTGGCAGTAAGACCATCAGGTGTTGAGTGGGGAGGGTGACAGGATATGGACTTGGCACCCCCAACGGTGTCTGCTACAGCATACCCCCCAGACACGTTCACCCAAACACAGCTCCTCAGTCGCTTCCCTGCACCAAGGATGAGCGATTAGACAGTAACGGTTCCAGTCCAGGTTGAGTTTAATCAGGAGTTTCAGAGAGGGGAGGGGATTCACTGGAAATATCGAGGTCTGGGACAGGGGCCTGGTTGAGTCGACTTAAAAAGGCCTAGGGGACTCTAACTTAGGAGAGTCCTTCCTATGTCTCAGGGTTAGGGACCTGAAGGGGTTGGGTCCCAGGGAGGTCAGTGGGTCACCTTGGAACTCTACTGGGATGGTACCAGAAGCTGTTTTGAGGGATACTCCAAGTACCATGTAAGGGAGTTATATCTGGGGTTCCAGATGTAAAGAGCTGAGTTAGCGGCGGGGACCCTGAAAGATCCTGCGGGGGAAAGGGTTGGGGGGGTCTAGGGTGTTTCACAGAAACAATCAAGGGGCCTCGATTTCACAGAAATCATCAAGGGGGCTCCTTGTGGGTGGGGGAGGGGTATCATACTGCCCCAAATATTGGGGACTGTTTACCCCCTAGCAGCCATTTTGGGGTTTTAATGTAAGACCCCAAAGGCTGGACATTGTCCACATACATTATCACGAATTTGCAACATTAGCATACGCTGGTTGTCCCACAGGACGGTGGGGACTGGAAAATCAGTCCAGGTTCTGGGTTTGCGTCCTAAGAGGACAGGCCTGGGGGTGCCACTCGGCTCCTCTTCAAAAGCTGCCGGAGCTGTGAACAAAACAAGACGGGGGAGAAGTTTGAGAGGCTGCAGGGAGAGATGGGGCAGGCGCACCCTGTGAAGCTGGGGGTCAGAGAGAAATGAGTCAAGTCAGATGGGTTTGAAGGTCAAACGTGTGGGAATGGGGGTTAAGCCTCGTGCACACAATGAATCAAGGCTCCTGAGCAAAGGTGTTGCTGGCTGAGAGATCCCACCTTGGGATTAGCATTAAGGACTGGGAGTCCAAAGGGAGAAGCTAGGAGTCAAGAGTCACATTTGACGGTCAGAAGTCCCACTCTGAGGTCAGGACTAAAAATCAGGGGGCTGGAGGTTATCCTGGGGATCAAAGGTCACACCTTAAGGTCAGGATTCAGGGTTAAAAGTAGAGGTCATACTCTGAGGTCAGGGTTTAAATAGAGATTAGGAGGAGTCACCTTATCAGGCAAGGGAGCAGACACTGAGGTGCAAGGTCACTTTTGTTTTTTGGCTGTGCTGCATGGCATGTGGGATCTTAGTTCCCAGACCAGGAATCAAACCCAAGCCCCTTGCAGTGGAAGTGGGAAGTATTAACCACTGGACTGCCAGCGAAGTCCCTCAAGGTCACATTTTGAAGCCAAGGTCGGAGAAGGATCAAGGTCACCTTCTGACACCACAAGTCACCCTCTAAAGTCAGGAATGGATGGGGTCAGAGGTTCACCCTGCAGTAAGGGCTGGCTCAGTGCTCACCCCCTCAGGGCCCGGCCCAGGCCGTAGCAGGTGGACAGGCTGCTCGTTCTCCAGGTTGCGCAGTGTTGGATCCGCTCCAGCTGCCAGCAGGCGCCGCACAATGGCCTCCTGGGCCGGCCCAGGGGGCAGGGCGGCTGCCATGTGGAGGGCGGTGTTCCCATGGGCCTGGAGACAGTGAGGGGAGGACTGCTAAGGACGCAGACTCAGCTGGCCTGGGCTCTCTACCTCACACTCTCTATACTACCATGTTCATGTCCCACATGTCCCCTCTCATGTCCCAGAGCCCTGCTCCACACCACATTCCACACAGCCCTCTGTCTGTGCCCACCACGTGCCCCCGGTCTAGGTCCACATCCTATACATCGTCCCCTCCATAGCCACAGCCACAAGACCCCCAGCATCCAGCTGCCCATCTCTGCCACACCTCACCTAATCTGCACATTCCAGCCCAGGCCCCTACCTTCATGTTGACAAAGGCCCGCAGGTCTCCCCGGGGCAATGCCAGGAGCAGCTGAACCAGGGTCGGGTTGGCGGCCTGCACAGCCAAGTGCAAAACAGTCTTGTTGCTCTTGATCTCCTGTGGAGAGGGCAACGGCAGAGGTCAGGCCAGTCCTCATACCCAGGCCTCCACCCATGGAGCCCAAAAGCCTTTAGAGACTCTGTTCCTCTTTTGCAAGCACCCATATGTGCACTATACAGGTGCATGCACTGTGCACTCTACAAGAATACCAGATTTAAGGGGGTGCCATTCAGATCATGGAGCAGTGGTAAAGACTTTGCCTGCCAATGCAGAAGACACAAGAGACATGGTTTCGATCCCTGGGTTGGGAAGATCCCCTGGAGGAGGAAATGGCAACCCACTCTAGTATTCTTGCCGGGAAAATCCCACGGACAGATGAGCCTTGCGGGCTACAGTCCGTGGGCTTGTAAAGAGTCGGACACAACTGAGCAATTGAGTGAACACGAGCACATATTCAGATCATAAGCACCACTGAACTGTATATTCATTAAGACAGTTTTCCAGCCCAGGTATCATTGAGAAAAAAACTCCTTTTCTAGTCCTCCAAAGGAGCTCTCTGGATCTCTGGACTAGCAGCTGCCCTGGCCAGCCCACATTCTACTGAACACAATAAAATGCACCCACATCCCACATGGACTATTTTATCTACAAGGATGGGAGCTGAGAAGCATTTATCAGTGGACTACCTAAGCCTATATCTACTTCCATACTGAGTAGCTCTCTTCACATTTTGAAGCAAATAAAGACATTTTCCACAATGAAGCTTTATTATGTGCCTTCAAAGAATCCCTAATGATAATAAACATGAAAAATTGTGTGTTTAGACATAGAAAACAAACTTATACTTGCTAAAAGGGAAAACAGGGTGGGGGAGGATAAATTAGGAGTTTGGCATTAGCAGAAAGAAACTACTGCATGTAAGACAGACAAACAAGGTCCTACTGTGTAGCACAGGGAACTAGACTTAATATCCTGTAATAAACCATAATGGAAAAGAATATGAAATAGAATATGTATATATATGTACAAATAAATCACTTTGCTATATACCTGAAACTAACACAATGTTGTAAATCAACTATACTTCAATAAAAATTTTTTTTAAAAGGGAAAAAAAGGACATATCATTGCAATGTGTGGGCTTTATTTGGATCATAGTTTTTTGGGGTTTTTTTTAATAAAAAAATAAACGTATGTTACTGTGCTTGCATGCTCAGTCACTAAGTTGTGTCCGACTCTTTGTGACCCCACGGACTACAGCCTGCCAGGCTCCTTTGTGCATGTGATTTTCCAGGCAAGAATACTGGAGTGGATTGCTATATCCTTCTTGAGGGGATCTTCCCGACCCAGGATCGAACCCTCGTCTCCTGCTCGGCAGGGGATTCTCTACTGCTGTGCCACCTGGGAAGCCCGTATGTTACTTTAGAGCCAAACAAAAATTTGAACACAAGATATTTGCTATTATGAGATTGTTAATTTTTTTAAGGTGGAATAATGGTACTGAGGTTAAAAAGAATTCTTATCTTTTAAGACAAATTTTATGGGTATAATTTTACTCATAAAATTATAAGCTTGGATTTACTTAAAATACAGGGAAGTGGGGAAGTGATAACCCAGCAACTCATAGCTGGTTATTTATGTTGGGTAGGTGGAGTTTATTATATCAACATTATTTTCTGTACTTTATCTGTGTTCAAAGTTCTTAAAACAAAAAAAATCCAAAACAATGAGTGGATGTGTAATTCCTTCAGCCAGCCTTTGAAGGAGCTACTGGCAGGAAGGAGGAGAATATATGTATTAAGAGCTAGATTCTAGGGTCAGGCCACCTGGGCTTGAATCCCCTCTGACACTTTCAAGGTACAAGATTTTTGAGTCCTTGAGCCTCTGTTTCATTATCATTAAAATGGAGAAGGCAATAATAGCACACACATCAAAGTGTGTTTGTGAGAATTCAATTAGCTAATCGGTGAAACTCAGTGTTTAGTAACAGTTAAGTGCTTGATAAATATAAGCTAAAATCATTAATATTATTCTCAGTTGACAACTGGGGCACAGAGAAGTGAAGTAACATGTTTAAGTTCACGCCACTGACAAGGGGCAAGTCAGCATTTATTTAGCCTTCTTGGACATTCAAGAGCTCCCATCCCACATGCCCTCCTGGGGGCTAGCTGTCCACTGCCCAGCTCACCTGGCTGGTGTGATCAGCACCCATGTGCAGCAACATCTTGACGCAAGCCAGCCTGTCCTGGGCCTGGGTACTCAGTACTGGGGGATATAGGTCAGGAGGGTGCATAGCCACGTTGAGGGCCAGGATGGCTGTGTGGAGTGGGGTGAGGCCTGCAGAGCAGAGACAGTGAGGACTTTACATTTGGAGCACTCCCCTGACCCAGCCCCACCTGCCACAACACCCTGCCCACCATTCAACTTACCCTCAAAGTCTCTGGCTTCTATGTCAACTCGAACCCCTGAGTTAATTACAGCCTGGAGGAGAAGGCAGAGAGCTGGCTTAGAGTCTCTCCGGGCTGTGTAGCCGTGAAAGTCAAGATCTAGGCAATCTAGCCCATCCCACTCATCCCACCTGCCAAATGGACATACCGAGAGGACTCTTGGGAGCCCGTATGTAGCGGCCACGTGTAAGACAGAACGTCCTTGATGGTCAGTGGCATTGGGTTCCGCTCCCAGGTTCAGTAGATCCTCCACAATCAGGGGTTGGTTGGCAGCAGCAGCCACCAGAAGAGGGGTCTGCAGGTGTCAAGAAAGGTCAGTCTGGGCCCCCCATCCCCTACCCTTTGAAAACCAGGACCCAGGCCCCCAGCCCTTTTGTCCTCAGATCCAGGAGACCAAGCCTCCAGCCCTTACCTTGCCCTTATGCTCACGAATGTCCAGATGTCTGTACGCTTGGAGCATCTCAGCTGCAGCATATGCTGCCCAGCGTAACCCCCGCGCCGCAAACAGGTGCAGGAGCCTGGGGACAGGTGGGGGCAGCAATGAGCACAGCACCCCAGCTGAGCAGGAAGCCCGCAGACTCTACTCCCCTATACTCACGTGTCTCCTTCCTCATCCTGCGCCAGCAGCTTTTGGGGTCCTAGAGCCAGCATGTGAGCACGGGCAGTGTCCAGGGATGGTCCAGTGACCACAGGAGGCAACTGTGGAGGTCCTGAGGGGAGCCCAGAAGCCCTCCAGGATCCTGCCTGTGGCAGGGAAGGGTCTGCATAGAGCCGAGTATCCAGGGGGTCCTGAAGGGTACAAGGGGTGGGGAGAGCCAGTCAGCTGAGAATTCCCTCTTTCCACCACACACATACACATACAGAGTGCTAGGCAGAGTGGCTGCATGTTCCATCTGCGGCCAGTAACCCTGGACCTTTGGGTCTCAGTTTTGCCCATCTGAGGAATGGGCTCCTAACCCAGACATCTCAGAATGTTGTGCTGCATAAGGGCAACTGGGCATCTCAGGGACCCTTCAGCATCCAGTTCCCAGTGTCAGTCTCACCTCCATCCCCAGGGGAAATGAACACGGCCGCCCTGGGTCCGAGGGTGAGTAGAAGTCAGGAGTCAGAAAACTTTCAGCAGCAGAAGCAGGATAAGAGTAGAGGCTGTCCGTGTAGGCAGCATGCGTGTTGGGGTCCCAGTCTACAAAGCCAGTGGCGGGCGCCAGGCTGCCAAGTCCAGAACCCACAGTCTCCTGGTGTGCAGGGAAGTGAGTATGGCCTGTGTGTGAGAGGAGGAGCAGGGGCAGGCCCGGTTACCAGAGTTAAGGAAGTAGCAACCCAGACAGGAGCTGTATGAGGGCCCAGCGTCCCCAGGATAGAGAAAGCTAGTACTTCTGGGGCATCAAAGGGCTGGAGGTTTGGACTGTGCGGGCCTAAATGCCTGAACACTGAGTGAGTGAGGGCCTAGACTCCAGGCTGGGAGCCTGGGCCCCTGGACTACGTGCAGAAACTACTGAGCTCCAGAGAATCTGGGAGATCAAACTGCTACCAGGTCTCGGCAAGAATGAGGGCCTAACACCTAAGTTCTGGAAAGTTCTAAGAGCAGGGATATTTGAGTCCCTGAGGGAACCAAGTGAGTTTCCAGACTTACCAGCTTCACCCTCACTCACAGATGAAGTCAGTGGCTGGGCCAGGGGAGGTGGGAACTGTCCCTGTGGAGGCCGAAACAAAAAGAAACAAGGGGACATTTATCCAGCAGACTTCTCGGCACCCATTCCCCACCTACAGGGCATCTAAGTCAAGACTACATCTCTCGTCAGCCCTGAGGGCCCTTGCCCACCAGGACATGGCCTCATGGGAGTTGTAGTTTACAGGGCGTCCTGGGGCTCACCGGTAGCCCACCGGCGTCTGGCTGCTGCTGGCGGCGCCTCTGTTCTTCTAGCAGCTTCTTCACCGTCTGTGACGGGCAATGGCTGCGCTCATTCCGGCTCACTGCGGGATGAAGAGGGAGGGAAGTTATCAGGGGTCTTTAAGTCACCCAAGGGCGCGGGGGAGTGGATCTGAGCATCCTCCTCGCCCTCCCGCGCGGAAAAAACTGGCACACTGCTGTCGCCGAGAACTCCAAAGCCAATGTAAGATTTCGGGTGCGGCGCCGCAGCCGCCTCCGCCGTTTCCTTCCTTTTGCTCCGCACTTTCCCCTCTGACCCAACTTTCCACCAGCGTCGTGGAAACTAAGGAAGGGGGTGGAGGACGCCCTCTTCAGCCCCCCCTCCCTCTGACCGCCACTTCCGTGAAAAATCCCACCGCACCCCACACCCAGATCTCCCAGTCCTGAGGAATTCGGGGGATGCCGGGCTTCCCTTCACAGAGGCGCACATCCAGGTTCCCAAATCTCTCTGCCCTAGAAGCTGCCCTGATACTTTTCCTCGGGAAACCAGATATCCGAGTCCCCAGCCCCTCTCCCTAAGGAACCACGAAGTCAACAGCCCCCTGGCTCTTCAGGGATCCAAAAGTTCGGACCTTGCCCCCTTCTTCAGACCCAGGAGTCCAAGCCCCACCCCACAGGAGTCTGGGAGACTCGCAACCTCTACCCCAGGACCCAGGAGTCCGAGCCTCAGCCTACTCCCCTCTAGGACCTGGGAGTCCCAGTTTCCAGACTTCTTGTTCACGCGAACCCAGAAGCCTGGGCCCTCGGCCCTCACTCGGTTCGGGCGGAGAAAGGGTTAAGGGCGGGAGGGCGGACTCGGAAACAGCCCAGACGCGACGCGCTGACGTCACGGCGCTCACGCAAGGGAATCTTCCAGCCCCCTCTTCCTCTCTACCCGGTACACCAGGTGTCCGGCTCCGAAAGACGATGCGTGGCCAAGCGTGGCGTTCGTGGAATCCCCGCACATGGGGAATTCCTGCTCAGACCGAGGACCTGGGCCGAGTGGCGACTCGGGAAATCCCAGGGTGGGGCCAGGGTCACGGGCAGAGAGCATCCCTGCGGCCAAGCCTTGGACCTTGTCTATCTAGACCTTGGCCAATTTCAAACGCCCCCAAGGACTCAATCCAGCCTCTTTCTAGAGTATGGCGGCTAGGTCGCCAGCCCCTCCTCCTAGGACCCAGGCACTCGGGGCTTCCCAGCACTTTCATCCCCAGGACCTAAGACTCCGGACCCCCAGTCTTTTAGCTCTCCGGACTCGGATCCCAGAATCCCAGCCGCTCCGGCATCACGACCCAGGACTTTGCACCCTCTGCCCCCTGCACACATTGGGTTCTCACTCTCAGCTTGATGCTAGACCCCTCACTCTTGATGTCCATCTTCGGCCCCCAGCCCCTCTCTTAGGGGCCGAGCGTTACCTCACCTCCCCGCCCCCCAGTTACCTCGGGGATTCCGTGGTGCTGACTGCGGGCCCCCAGGGCCCCGGCCTCGGCGCTGCGCCAGCCTCGCTGCTTTCCCGCGGAGCCGCCGCCGGGTCCCCGATCTTGGACCGGGTCCCCCCGCGAGATTTTAAACGCAGATTCTGGCCCCGCCCAGTCCTGGGCAGGGCCCCACCCACAAGCGCGGGAGTCCCCACGGTGCGCTCGAGCGAGTCTGGTGTCTGAATGGGCGGAGCTCATTTTGAAGTCCCGACTCCGAAGTCTCCTGGGAAAGAGGAATTGGGAACCTGTCTTCAGTCTGAGGGAGAAGGTGCCTGGGGTGGCGGACTCCTGAAGGAGGAGGGAACTGGGGATCTGAATTTCTGGATCTTTGTCCAAGTGGATGTTGGAGGCCTTGACTTCAAGGCCCTGGGCTGGTGGAGGGTGGGAGGACGCTGCCAGTGATACCAGGTCCAGGGAGAAGGGGACTGGGGTTCTGGACTCCTTGGTCTCAAGGGAGGAAAGGTCTGTAGGTAAGAGTGATGTAGGTGGACTCAAATTTCCCCTCTTCCCCACATCACCTTTTTCAGGGGCCAGTTCTCATTTGTTCATTCGTCGTTAAAAAGAATTTATTACTGAAAGGGAGGCACTTTGCTGGGTGCTGTGGTGTAGCTGTGAACTAAGCAGGCAGGAATTCCCAGCCCTCAAGCAGACTGTCATTCCAGTGGGAGGCTCGTTTCTCAGTTCCCATCTTGGTGACCATGTAAATCACATTTCTCCCCTGCTTTCAAGACTGTGCTCTCCTGGTTCTCCTCCCTCACTTGCTGCTCCTTCCGTTTTCCTGCCTGTTTACTCCTCTTCACCCTTTCTTGGTGTTGGGGGAGGTGGTGTTTCTCTGTCTCTACTCACTTCCTTGATGATCTCATCCAGTCTTATGGCTTTAAATACCATCCATGAGCCATCAGTCCCCAAATTTACATCTCCAGACCAGACATCCCATGAACTCAAAGAGGCCACTGTGGTCGTTCAACTTCTCCACGGGGAGCTCTATCAGGCATTTCCAACTCCGTTTGCCAAACCTGGGCACTTTTCCCCCTAAACCTGCTTCCCCTCTTTCTCCATCCTGTCAAAGGATTCTCTGTCCTTAGTTGCTCAGACCAGAATCTTCGGTCATCCTGGATCCCTCTTTCTCATACACACTCATATCCACTCCATCAGCAAGTTTTGTCGTCTCTACTTTAAAAATCTCGCCAGAATCTCCCCAGTGCCCACACCCTGGTCTACCTGTCACGTCTCACCTGGACAATCATAGCAGCCTCCCTGTTCTCTCTGACCCTCCACCTGGTTTGTCCCTGAAGGCAGTCAGAGGGATCCATCACCTCTCCCCCTCCCACACAGACACACAGGAAGCAGGTGGCCTTGTCACCAGCGGGGTGACATCCGCTATTGCTGCCTCTCCACTCCCCCATTGTTCCTCAGGACTTCTCTGGACCAAAGCCCTTTGAGAGGTCCCTTCCAGCCCCCAGCCCACCATGGTCCCGCCAGCCAACATCCTGTTCCTGCTTTTGCTCCCAGGTGAAGCCAGTGGTTACGGGGGCTGGGGCGGGGGGTGTTAGAGTTTTGTGAACAGTTTGGGGTGGCATCTGAAGGGAGAGGTGCTGAGGGCGGGTCCTCTCAGTGCCCTTTCCTTTCCAGAAATGAACTTCTGGGCCGGTTCTTTGGGAAGGGAAGCTGAATTTGGATGGCTGCCTGTCCATCCCCTTCTACTGCTGGGTCTCTGCCTCTACTTCTGATTTCCTGTCTCTCTCTGGGTCTCTGGGCACTCCCCTCCTACCTGGCCCCTCTTTTCATTTGATCTCTCCGGAGTGGTTATTTCTCAGGGCATCTCCTTTCCCTGCGCCCTGTTTTGAGAACCACCTCTGCCCACTGATCTGCCTTCCCTCTCCTTCCACAGTGGCTGCAGCTCAGATGACCCCAGGTGAGAAATCAATCCCCCCTCCCCTTTGCAGCACCACCTCAGGTCCTGCTTCCATTCCTAAATTGTGGCCTCTGAATCCTGAATCTCACTTCTCATCCTCAAGTTGGAGCCGCCAAAGGATCTGCAGCTCTCTCTGGGTCCCCACGTCACCATCCTCATTACCAAACTGAAGGCCCAACAATGCACCAACCCCGCGATCTGTCTTCAGGGGTACTCACTGTGCCCAAAGCACAGTCCTGGGAGCCCTAGGACATCCCCAGCTTCTCTCTGAATCTCCAAGATCCCTCTCCTTCCCCAGGAATTCTGGGACAGCCACCCCCAAAGGGATTTCCTTTGTATCATATGCCTGAAGCCCAGCCTTGAGTGTCTGGAAGCCCCCTCAGCCACCTTCTTGTCTTGGTCCCCCCGCTTCAGGTTCCTGTTCCGGATGTGGGCCCCTCTCTCTGCCACTCCTGGCAGGCCTTGTGGCTGCGGATGCTGTTGTGTCACTGCTGATTGTGGTGGTGGTGTTTGTGTGTGCGCGCCTACGCAGCAGGCCCACCCAAGGTGAGAACAGGGGCAGGGGTGGGCCTAAAGGGACAAGATGTCCCCAGGGAGGGGGTCCCCAGGGCAGGCCCCCCCCACCTTGGGCAAGCCCTCGAGGTTCCGGGGAAACCCTGGGGGCGGTGCTTGGGGGAACTCCTGAGAAAACCCCTGAGGCTGGGGGTCCCCAAGGGGGTGGAGATGTGGGTGGGAGGTGGGTGGTCAGGCCTCATGCTTTCTCTCCCCCACCCCCAGAAGATGAAAAAATCTACATCAACATGCCTGGCAGGGGTTGACTTCCCTGTAACTGCAAGTTTTGACTTCTGACCCTCTCATCCTGTGTGTGGGTGGTGGCACAAGAAAATCCACCCTGCTTTGGGGCTGGAATAAAGCCATTGAAATACCTCTTGTTCTAATTCTTTCTCAAAGAACCCAGGTTCCCCAAAGGCTCCTTCTCATTTATCTGTTTTCTGGGTCCTTGATCCCCCCCGGACCCCATATATCCCCACCCCATCTGCCCAGGGATCTGGAATAACTCAGCATTGTTTGTGCACTCCAATGTTTATTTGGGGGCAGTAGTGGGGATAAGTCTGACATCTCGTGGAGGCCACTCTGTGGATCCGTGTCTTGATGGGATTAGGAGTAGAGTGCTGAGCAGGCATCAGGAATGACTGGATCCAGGCATCAGGTTGTTGACTGCCCTGCTTTGGACTCATTTGTAATATGGCCTCTGTGTGTTGAGGTTGCTGTAGACATCTGTTCTCTGGCCGTGGAGCTCCTAAGGGATGGAAGGGTGTGGACCATCAGTGCAAGGACCACCACAGTATGGACCAAATAAACTGAAAATCTAGCTTTCTCCCAGGGGCTGGCGAGGCCCCTGGCAGCTTCTTCAACTTTGTAGCCGTGAAAGAGATCTAGATTTTATTCAAGGGCATTCAATGCTCCCTTCTTCCCTCTGCCTCACCATTATGCCCCAGGCAAGGGGCCTTTGGGTGTGCTCTTCTCTCTGCCTGGAACACGAGTCCCCCATATAGTCCCATGGGAGGTTCCTTCTCCACCTTCTCAGCTCATGGCATTTTCTCAGAGAGGTATTTCTTTTTTCCTTTGACCACATGGCATGTGGAATCCTAGTTCCCTAAGGCCAGAGATCAAACCTGGGCCCCCCTGCATTGGAAGCACAGAGTCTTAACCACTAGACCACCAGGAAATTCCCTGAGAGGCATTTCTTGATTTCCTCATCTCTAGTTTCTCCTCCCCACACCCCAGTCATTGTCACATCAACCTGCTTTATTTTCTTCACACTGCCTCCCCAAGTGATCTTGTTAATTTGCTTCAAGACTATCTCTCCAACTAGGATGTAAGCTCACCAGCATCTAGCCTATACTGGCCCTCAACAAATTTCACCAAAGGAATGAATAAATTGGGCCTTTGCCCTAAAATGTCACTGTCTCCCAGTAACTGGAAATCCCCTTGAGTCTTCTGGTCCTCATGGAGCCAAACTTGAGATCCTTATGCTTTATAGAGAGTCTTTGAAGCCACAAGTGAAGCAAACCAGAGCTGGTTGCAGACAAATAAAACAGACTTCACAGAGCAAGGTTCACAGTGGGGGTGGGGTAAGGGTCTGTGGCCCCAAGATGCCTGCCTCAGATAGAGTCCCTAAAATCACATACAAATGCCTGGTCTGGGAGTTCATCTTTCTGGAAAGGGTCTGTTTGTCTTCCATTAGTTTCTCAGAGGAACTCATGACCCCGTAAAGGGTTAAGAATCACACTGACAGGAGGTGGAAGATGGAAAGATGACATTTGCATCGTGGCTCTTAGTTGCGGCCTGTGGAATCTAGTTCCCTGACCAGGGATCGAACCTGAGCTCCCTGCATTGGGAGCGTGGAGTCTCAGCCACTGGACCACCAGGGAAGTCCCTGTATCATGGCTCTTAAGGAGGCTTTCAAGGATACTTGCACTGCCCGTAGATTATATGCACAATTTTGTGTTTTTCATACGGATTTTTCTGAGGAGTCTCCAGCTTTTGTCAGTTTCTCAAGAGGAGACAAGATCCGCTTCCTGCCCCCCACTATTAATTCTAAAACTCCTCATTTTAAAGTCACCAAATTAGGGTTGAATTATATCCTCTGCTCTTCGGAGGACTTCTCTGAGAAATCGGCATGTCCTGGGCTGGGCTTTTCCTGCCTTCTGGATGAGGCAAACCATCCCTGAATTTCCCCTCCACACATTTTAAGCTGAGCGTAAGGTCGTGATTGATCACTGAAAGCAGTTTTGGACGCTTCATCTTCAATGTTTGAGGAGCTCCTGGGAACATGGCTTCAGGGTCTGGGTTCTGCGGGGACTGGGGGAGGGACATTTCGGACAGACAAGCACAGGGCCGGAGTGAGAGATGAGGCAAGAACTTGGTTTCCTTACCTGATAAGGCGACTCTGTCTCCGTGATGTGCTGTTTCCGGGTCACTGCTGGGGGGTGGGGTGAGAATTGGGACTATTTTCTTGTTCCAAAGTCAGCCCCTCCATCACCTCCCTTTGGGTGGTTGTGACTTGGGAGTTCACCCTTCCCTTGCCAGGCAAGTCCTTAGAGGGTCCCAGGCCATCCCCAGCCGGCCCCACTCACCCTCCGCAGCCCCTCGCCCCCGAGGGACCAGCCGACCCAGGGAGTACACGGCCAGGGCGATGAGGAGGGTCAGCACCAGGTCCCCCAGCACGATCCCGGCCAGCACGCCCGGGCTCACGGAGGAGCAGTTGCATTCTGGGAATGGACATGGTACAGGAGTCAGGGGAGACCCGTGGGAGTGGGAATCGGGAGGAGGTGTCAGTCATCGGGGGGGAGGTGTGGAGAGACCGGGGAAGGGTCCAGAGGGGGGTTGGTCTTTGGGAGGTAGGACGGGAGGTTGCAGGGTCTCGACCTACCACTCTGGGCCTGGACGAGGCTGAGACCTGAGGAGAGGAAAAGAAGGTAAACTGAGACACAGGACTGTGACTGCGGGGTGGGCAGAGAAGCTGGGGAGGGTGTCTCCTGATCCCCGGCGGGCACAAGAGGGGCCTGGGGGCCGTCATCAAGGCCTCTGGACTGTGTTCCTTCTACATCGACTTGTCCTGTCGCAACACTCTTAAGAGTCCCCTCCCTCTGCTTCTCCCAGAGGCTAAATCTTGGGGCGGGTTGGGGCGCAGGCTCTGGGAGAGACTCATAGGGTTTGGGGGGCTGGGGATCTGCTGCGGTCCCGACACTACCCCGCCCCGCTTTGATTCTCTCTTTCCGCCCAGCTCTCTGCCTTGCCCTGTGCTGAGCCCAGAAGCTGCAGAAGCCCCCAACTCACCACCCACAGTCAGAAGGAGAGATGGGAGCCTGTCGGAGGGTCTAAGGCCCCCCATGATGCAGGTGACGCTGCTGGATACTGCAGTCTAAGGCGACTGGGATGTGGTGTAGTGTCCAAGTAAAGGAGGAAGTCTGAGGTGGGTGGTGGCAGGAGGGAGGAGGGGACGATGGGGGAGGAGGAGCAGAGACAGACATCACCAAAGAGAGTCAGGCCAAGACACCCCAGGCTGCAGCCTCCAGTGGTTAGAATGAAGGGCGATGGGCGCATGTGTCCATTTAACCTTCACCCCCAGACAAAGGTCCGCCATCATTGTCACAGGAGGGTCTCTGGCTGACTGTGATTGGAGCTAATCTCTGCCGCTTCGTGGCTGGACAACCTTGAGCAAGTCACTCAACCTCTCTGGGCCTCAGTTTCCTCACCTGTAAAACAGGAAGTAAAATAGTACCTACTCTGAAGGGTGTTGTGGGGGTCGAATGAATTTGTATCTCTAGAACAGGGTCTGACCCTTGTCAGCTTTTTATAAGCACCAGGTATATTTATTTGACAATCCGAACCTTGTAATGTTCATAGGATATTAAAAGATAACACCAGGATATGGGTTCCAGTAATGCACAGGCACCCTGTCCAAGTGTTAATGCATTTAAACCCAAGTACACCATTCTGAGGCGGCTTCCCTGGTAGCTCAGTTGGTAAAGAATCTGCCTGTAATTCAGGAGACCCTGGTTCAATTCCTGGGTTGGGAAGATCACCTGGAGAAAGGATGGGCTATCCAATCCAGTATTCTTGGGCTCCCCTAGTGGCTCAGATGGTAAAGAATCCACCTGGAATGCGGGAGACCTGGGTTCAATCCCTGGGTTGGAAAGATCCCCTGGAGGAGAGATAAGTTACCCACTCCAGTATTCTTGCCTGGAGAATCTCCATGGACAGAGGTGCCTGGTGGGCTACAGTCCATCGGGTCCCAAAGAGCTGGACATGACTGAACAATGAAGCATAGCACACCCTTCTGAGGTACATGCTTTTATCCCATTTTAGAGAAGGATAAAGACACTCGGCCAAAGTGACACAGCAAATAAAGGTGGACATAGAACCCAGGACCCAAAGACAGATATCCGACCCTTAAAGAAAAAGAAAAGAACCAAGATGGAGGCGAGGGAAGGAAAAAGTGGTGACCAGGCAGAGAAAGAGGAAGAAGACTAGGCAGTCACACAGATGCACACAGCGCAGACCCAGGCCTAGGGCTTTGGGGTGAGGCAGGTGGGGGACAATGGGTGACACTGGACCAGGCTGGGCTGCCCCCACCAAATGAGGAAGTGGCTGGAAGCCCGTACTGAGGGAGGCCACCCAGGAGATGACAAGGACTTTTAGCCCCAACAGGAGAGGAGCCAGAGCTGGGGAAGGAGGAACCTGAGGTTAGGGGCTATAGGGGGATGGGCCAGTGACAGGAAGCCCCGTCCAGGCGGCACACCCACAGCTCCCCGGGCCTGGGCTCAGGAGAGAAAAAGGGGAAACTGGATGCCAGTCATGGGACAGACACTGAGTGACCTGTTGGAGTGGGGGGTGGGCAATTGGAGTCCGGAAGAGGGTCACAGCCGAGTCCCAGGTGGCACTGGCTATTAAACGCCACCATTGCCCAGGCCTGGCCGAGTCCTTTCACAGAAGAATCAACATGCCGCCGCCACCACCAGGTCTGGAATGAACAGGGCCTGCCTGCTCAGGCGTCTCAAGGTGGCTGAAGCCCAGTGAGCCCAGGGGCAATCAGAGACCAGAGGAAGCTCTGAGCCAGGAGGGCCCTGATCTGACTCAGGAGTCAACAGGCTCCCTCTGGCTGGGCATGGGGACCTGACTGTTGGAGGCAGGGGTGGGAGCAGGGGGCCAGGATGCGGCAGCAGTGGCCCAGTTTCTTGTGAGGATTTTGTGAGGTCCGTGAGAATCAGGCCTGCCTGGCGCACAGTAAATGCTCAGTGAACGTTCATCATTATCAATATCATTGTTGTCACTGTTACTAGCAATTCAAGGCTTCCCAGGTGACTCAGTGGTAAAGAATCCGCAGACGCGGGTTCAATCCCTGGGTCAGGAAGATCCCCGGGAGAAGCAAATGGCAACGCACTCTGGTATTCTTGCCTAGAGAACCCCACGGACAGAGGAGACTGGCGGGCTATAGTCCATGGAGTCGCAAAAGAGTCGGACACACCATAGTGACTAAACAACAATTCATGTCTCCAGTTCTGGGCTCCCCTTCAGAGAAAAATCCTCCTTCTACCTTTCAGCCTCAGCCTCCTGATCTGATTCTTCCAATTCCAGCCAGGCCCAGGCTATCCCCAATCTAACAGCCCCACACCCAGGTACCCTCCAATCAGATGCAGCCACAGGGTTGGGTCCGAGTCTCGGGGTCCCCCTTTGGCTGCTGAGATGTGGGGAAGTCCGAGGTGTTCCAACGGAATGGGCTGAGGTGGTAGAAATGTGAAGCATTCCAATATTTTAGCTACGAGTACAGCTATACTCCCCGGAAATGGACATGGCAACCCACTCCAGTGTTCTTGCCTAGAGAATTCCATGGACAGAGGAGCCTGGTGGGCTGCAGTCCATACAGACCCTTGGGGTCCCAAAGAGTTGGACACAACTGAGTGACTAAGCATAAGCATAGCTGTACTGGTACAGACCCTAATATGCCAGCTAGTCTCCAGTCCAGGGTCTCCATCCCACTGGAGGAAGGAAGAGACCGAGATGGAGGGCAGACCCCTCCCCGCAGTGCCCAACTCCAGGAAGCAGGGCTGCCCCGAACCCCACAAGATCTGTAAAGTGTCTCAGACTCTCTTGGCAGCACCCCAAGCGTTGGGGAAGGTCAAAGTTGACTTGCCCAGAAGACAGGCCATGGGTTGAGTCTGTGACAAGCTCGCCTCTGTGGAAGCTACAGTCCCTTCCCCCACTCCCTGCTTCCATTCCCCCAACTCCTACCAGCGTCCACCCTCCCCCCAGCAGCCAGGGGAAGCTTTCTGAAAAGTGAGACAAATCACTTACTTTTTTAAATGGCTGAAGGGTTTGAACAGACACGTCACCAAAGAAGAGATGTGACTAGCCGAGTAACATGTGAAAAAGCGTTCAACATCATTAGTCATGAGGGAAATACAAGCTAAAACCACAGTGAAACACCACTACACGCCCACTAGAGTGACAAAAATTAAAAAGACCGACCCTGTCAAGTGTCAGCAGAGATGAGGAGCAATTGGAAATGTGGAATAGAACCACTACCTTGGAAAAGAGCTTGGTAGTTTCTCATAAATTTAAATAGTCACAGGGACTTCTATGGTGATCCAGTGGTTAAGAATCTGTCCTGCAGTGCCAGGGGCGTGGGTTCAATCCCCGACTAGGGAACTAGGATTCCACATGCCTTGGAGCAACTAAGCTGGTGCAACACTGCAATGGAATATCCTAAGTGTTGCAACTCAGACCTGACATTGCCCCCAAAATAAATACATGTATTTTTAAAGTTTAAATAGTCACCTACACATAGATCCAGCAATTCCACAAAAGAAGGCATTTACTGCAGAGAACTGCAAACACATATTCAGGGACTTGCCTGGTGGTCCAGCAGATAGCACTCAGTACTCTCAATGCAACCAGGCTGGTGGGAATGGGGCACCTGGGTTCAATCCCTGGTCGGGGAACCCAGGGATTGAACTCCCAGATACAGCAACTAAGCCTACAAGCGTCAACTAAAGAACCCTGCACGCCACAACTAAGGGCCCACGTGCCTCAGCGAGCACCCAGTGCAGCCAAAATAAATAATAAAATTTTAAAAATTAAAAAAAGAAAACATGTGTTCATAGAAAGACCTGTCCGCCTCTCTGTCCTCTCCTCCTTCCTCTCTTCCCCTTACTCCCCCTACTGGGGCTACACTAGCCTTCTTGCTGTTTCTCAAATAAGTCAAGCTCATTCTCACCTTAGGGCCTTTATACCTGCTGTCCCCCATGCAGAATTTTCCTCTGGGCCTCTGGCCACTAGACTAAAGACTGTATCTCCTGGCTTCATTGCATTTAAAGGGCTATATGACTTCACTCCAGCTGATGGGCCATGTTGAAAGTGAATGAGCAATGTAAAGGCTATGGCTTTCAAAGAAGGGTACACTCTATGCTTCTTCAGTTTTCTCTTTGCTGGAATTTCAATAAGGGAGGGATCACATTAAAACAAGTGGATGAGGGCAACATGATAAGGACAAAAGAGCAACAGGATAGAAGGAACCTCTGTACCCATCACATTGGAGGAGCCCTGGACACATGAGAGAGAGAAACTTCTACCTCATTTAAACCACCCATGGTAGGTAGTCTTCAAAAAGTCACCAAGATTTTCTTCATCTCAATATGCACATACTATCCCTCTCATCAAAAAGTATAGAGGGGGAACTTCTCTGGTGGTCTAGTGGTTGGGATTCCACGCTTCTACTGCAGGGATGGTGAGGGGCACAGGTTTGATCCCTGGTCAGGGAACTAAGATCTCACATGCCATGTGGCATGGCCAAAAATAAATAAATTTAAAAAAACTTCCCTGGTGGGGAACTCAAACCAGGGTTTTGTGACAATCTAGAGGGGTGGGGTGGGGAGGGGGGCAGCAGGAAGGTTCAAGAGGGAGGGGACATGTGTACACCTATGACTGATTCATGTTGATGTATGGCAGAAATCAACATAATATTGTAAAGCAATTATTCTTCAATTAAAAAGAAATAAATTAAAAAAAAAAAACCTTCCATGATGGTCTAGTGACTAAGTCTCCATGCTCCCAATGCAGGGGGCCCAGGTTTGATCCCTGGTCAGGGAGCTACATCCCACATGACACAACTGAAAGATTCTTTGGGCCACAACTAAGACCAATCACAGCCAAATATACACACATATATATTTAAGTTACAGAGTCCATTTTCCCTCCCCTTGAATCTGAGCCAAATTCATGAGTTGCTTTGACTTAACACAGTGAAAGTGATGCTGTGCCAGTTCCGAGCCTGGGCTAAGAAACCTTACAGTTTTTGCTGTTACTCTCCTGGAACCCAGCTGCCATGCTGTA